ATAATAAAGATTTTGTTTCTAACCTCCACCTTTTTCTGCAGGTCTGGAGATCACATGGGATGGTGACAGTTTTGTGGAGGTTGTAGCTGCTCCTCATCTGCGTGGGCGCCTCTGCGGCCTTTGCGGCAACTACAATGGCCACAAGCGTGACGATACCATAGGCGGTGACGGGCAGTTCAAGTTTGACGTGGACGAGTTCGCAGAGTCATGGAGGGTCGAGGGAAATGAGGTTTGCACCAAACATCACCCGCCTCGCAGGCCGACTTCATTCCTGTGCCCCGGCAGCGTTAAAGTCAAGTTCAGGGCTCACCGGGAGTGCCAGAAGATAAAATCGTGGCTTTTTAGTAAGTGCCACAGTGTGGTGGACTTCGGGTCTTTTTACAGGTGAGGAGAAATCTCAAGTGACAACTTAATTGTTAAAGTGCCAAACACTGTAGCTTGTCACACGTATCCATTTCTCTGTCCTACCATAACCATACTTGTATGAGGCTTTCGGTAAAATCTTTTTTCATTACGGGAACTTAATCTTAAACAAAACCAAATTCTGCCCTCTTTAGGTCGTGTGTGACGGACATGTGTGAGTGTCCAGTCCATAAAAACTGTTACTGCGAGACCTTCATCGCCTACAGCAGAGCCTGTGAGAGGGAAGGTGTGCCCGTACTTTGGAAACCCGAAGCTGCTTGTATGGGTGAGTGGCAACACTCATAAATCGCAGAGCATTCTGAGAGGTGCTCTTGACTATTAGAGCCAGTCTTAATGACACCAGATTTGGCTTTTTGTTTTTTGTTTAAAGAAAATTCTGCTCACTTCTGAGCAAACCTGACACTTACTGCAGCTGCCATTCCAGTTCATAGTACTCCCTTTTAGAGAAGTAGAAAAGGATTTACCTTATGTATGCTTAAATTCCCTCTTTTGCATGATATTATCGTTCAACCTTGATAAAATGAACAGTATGCATTGGGTTTGGTATGAGTGCATGAGAAACAGCTAATTCCAATGAGAAGCTGCTGAGAATCTGCTCACATTGACATAATCAAGTCCTAACTTTTTCCCCTCTTTCTACCTTTTCTTCCTCTCATCAGCCACCCAGTGTAAACACGATGCAGTGTACGACACCTGTGGTCCAGGCTGCACCAAAACCTGTGACAACTGGAATGAGATCGGACCGTGCCGTAAGCCGTGCGTGGCCGGCTGCCACTGCCCCGCCAACCTGGTGATGTTCCAGGGACGGTGCATCAAACCCACAGCATGCCCTGGACGGTGACCCCTATGAGCTGGGGGAAGGGGACTGAAGGGAGGGTCATCTGAACTAAAACTAAGGGTCCAAACTAGCAAAGCAGAGTTTGGGAAGACACTAAAGGGTCTCAAGTTGACAGATAAGATGCAACAAGGTACTCAGGGTCCATAACTTCACAAGGAAGTACGCTGTCGTGACTTAGATGCCAGCGATCCAAACAATGGTGACGGACTGAAGGGAAACTCAGATGATCATCTGATCACGGAGCGTTCGATTTCTGACTTCCTCTCGCCTCTTTGTCACACTGTTACTACACCAGTCGCCACCAATTACAGTTTTGGAGAATAAAAACTAAAATCTCAAGCGACAACTTAAGTGGCATTTGGAGATTTTACAACTCACGAATTACAGGAACTACGGCATGTTGCCATGGACCCTCAGGGAACAGTCTGGGGCCAGCGGACTCCTCTTAGAGCCAACATGGCGACTGAGTTTCTCTCGCAAACACATTAAAGTGACCAACAGAGCATCTGCATTTGGAATAGTGAGATTCAAAGTCAAAGAGAAACTCGGATTCATCATATCAAAACTGAACTTATCATCTCTATTCCATCATTTCATACTGTAAGCTAGCCAGATTTATATGAAAGACAGACAAGCTTTTATATAATTATTGTTCTAATTATTAATATTATTGCTATTATTTGTTGTTGATGTTAATTTATATATCAGTCAAATGAAATGTTGTAGCAAGAGCCAGAATCATGAATATAATTGTGTTATAAATGATTTAAAGGGAAACAAAAGCTATTTATATATTTGTTGTGTATTTTTTGTTACTGTTTGAAGAGAAATGCCCAAATGTGACTCAGCTGTTGCACCATCGCAGGGATTAAGTACTGTATTGTATTATGCTCAGTGTACAGGTTGTAGTGGTTAGTAAACTGAAGGTGTTCGTGAAAGCATATGTTTCACTTGACGATAATTATTTAAGACCAGCAATATAATCTTTTCTCGAAGTTCATTTTTGACTGTCGTCCTTCCTCTATGTAGTGCTGGAGAAAAATCGAGATTACGGCTGCTAGTTCAATTCCCAAAAGAAGCCAGTGTTTAAAAAAAAAATGAAGTAAAGCTGATTTCATGTTTATCTGTGGCTCCTTAGATTTATCTCCACTAAAGATAAAAGACACAAATCTTGAAAGAAAAAAAGATGTAAAACTATTTTAAATACATTTGCACAGCTTTAATACACTTCAAATTTATACAAACATATTTCACATGAACACATCTCTAAAATAAAACATAAGGACTAAAAGCACCAAATACATTAGAGTTCATTCAACAGCAAACTGAGTCTCCAGGGTTGTACAGGTTTTAGGGGATTAGACGTGTGTCCACCTGTTTCAGTGGTTTCACTCGCTTTGACAATTCGCCACCCTCTTTCACTTCAAGCAATGTTCAAAAGCAGAAAAAAAAAATGACTGCAGTCTGGCCCAGGTGGAGAAACAAAACACTGACACATGGAAGATAGTGAATTTTCCCCCCTGTTCAAGAAGAAATACTTACATTTCACCTGCTACTGTAACTCTTTCTAGTACTGTACAGTATGACAGTCTTATAACTCACAATCATGTCTGCTTTGTTATGTGAGTTAAAAAGAACACTGCCCATAAACACTGCCCATAAAATGAACGTAGCTATGAGTCAATGTCAAACATCAAAATGTTGATGCTGCACATCCACTCGTAAAATCTCTCATTTCAGGAGTACAGGATAGCAGAAAACTAGAGCAAATTTACTCTCTTTTGGTAGCTGACACATCTTTTTGAATAAATGATGCACGTACTGGGATGCCAGTTACACGCGTTTTCTACTCCTTGTTGATGTTTTCAGTTTGCAAGCCTTGTACTGCTGAGGTTGTATATGGGATAGTGCTATGCTGGGAATTACATGAGGTCAGCTGTTTCAAAGTTTGTTCAACATTAAAAGGTGCAAAATGTGAGTGTGGTGGCTGGAGTCGATGGAGCATGGTCCATCCACTCCCACACAGTCCTGAGAAGAGGCTTAACAGCATCTGTATGCGTGTACATGGGATTCAGAAAATCCCTGTAATTGTTCCTTATATTAAATGTGGTTTTTAAGTAAATGAAAGTTCAGTTTTAAGCCGTCTGTACAGAGTGATGCGTACGTAAGGGGCAGCTGGATTATTTGAATACACTTGTTTCTTCCTCTGCAAATGAATGCAGTCACACAAAAAGGTTTTGAAAAAGTAGCATGTCAAAGCCTCGGTCCTGAACCACAGTATGGTATATGGGCCACACACATTACTGTGGTTGCAAGTAGAGCTGGGCGATATGAGATTTTTTCATATCACGATATGTTTTTTTCATTTCAGGCGATAACGATATCTATCACGATATAAGCCAAATAACTATATTTGTAAGATTTAAATGTGCCGTTGCTCACAAGTAAAATGTGAAATAATCAGCAGCTTGTTTTTATTTAAATATTTATTTCCCATAATAAGTTCAACAGGGTAGATGTACTTAAGGAACATGAGACTTTTTCAGATAAATAAAGGCAAATATTGCAAACTACACAAAAGGCAGCCGCTAAAGCGTTTAAGTTTCAAAATAGGACAAACGAAACAGACTAAATTGTCAATTCCACTTAGAAACAAAATATTAATTCTAAAAATAAATCTTAGTTTGTTTTAAAGAAGAACAGACACAACTGACTAACTTTTGTCAATATCAAATAAACTGAGAACTAAAAGGAAATTCTCAATCTCTCCTTGTTGTATAGCTTAGCTTTTCAAACAGTTTTAACAGTTACTTTAGTCTGACAAAAGCCGAATGACGAATTAGCGCTTCCAGTCAGAGACTGAGGCTACGTCCACACGTACACGGGTATTTTTGAAAACGGAGATTTTCCGTTTTCGTTTTAAAAAATAATCCCGTCCACACATAAAGGCAGAAATGAAGGAAAACGCTGCTATGAACATGCCAAAGCAGCAGGTGGCGCTAGATTCCTAACCGTGCCTAAATGTTGGCCAATCAGAAGTCTAGAAGCCTCGGTGGGAAAAAGTAAACAAAGCTGGGGCATAGAAGCAGAACCGAGTCGTAAGTGTGGAGGGACAGTAACTGTGTGTATATGTAAGCATTTAAACACTGCAGAGAGTAGAATTAACAGTATTGTAGAAATTCATTTCACCGAAACAATAACGTGGCGCAGTGTGACGCATGCACCAGTTTATTGTATTTCCAGACTTGCTTTCGGCACAATTTACAGTGCACGCTACTCAGTTTTTGTCAGACTTGAAATAGCCGAAATACCTTCACACTACGGAACTTCTATGGCTCTTCCGTTTGACAATCTCTCCGGCGTTGGAACCATCATCTGTTTTCTCTTCGGTCACGCTCGGTTGATTTTTCTAGTCGGCACACTCATTTCCTCCATTACGCGCTGGCTCCATTACCTGCTGGTTGCTTCCCAAACAAACACACGTGCGGCTTGGCACTTGTGCTGTACGTAACAAGTCACGCGACGTGACGCTGCGGCTGTGATTGGTTCGGCTCTGCGCTACTTAATTTGGATTGGCTGACCTTTTTTTTTTTTTTTTTTTGAGGACAAGAGCGGCGAGGTCTATCGCGATAGCTTAATTTCTCTATCGAGTAAAAGTTATATCGCGATACATATCGTTATCGTTCTATCGCCCAGCTCTAGTTGCAAGCATTAAACAGAAGAAAATAGGCTTAAAAAATAGAAAATAGACCTAAAAAGACGCTTTGGGTCACATAAAGCGGGTCTCTGCAGACAGCTGTATTGATTAAAATAGACCCTTACAATCTCAAATTTAACACTAATTATAATAAAGTACATCTAATGTTAATCTTAGAGTAGAGTAACTATTTAATTATTTTGATGGAAATTTCCTTTAAATATGACCCAAAACTTGTTACCAGTTTCAAAAATGACAATCATCTGGCGTTTCATCCTAAAATTTTGCATTCGTCAAAATTTCTTTAACAACAAATACTGTGACCTTTAAGTCTAATCATTCTGTAATAAAACTCCTCGGTTTTCTCTACACTGTGGCTTGTTATACTGCATTCATAATCACAAACAGGATCTTCACTGTCTCTAGCAGAAATTGGAAGAAAATCACTGATACAAATCACAATTACACATAAACTACAGAAAAAAATGAAAAGTACAATTACACACTGGTGTCGTTAAGTGATTTTCACACATTTAGGACACAGTAAGAGATCTGTTTGTGTTCTAACTACTGGAAACACTATGTTTAGTTTATACAATGGGTGGCACCTGTTCAGAGGGTGCAGGAAGCATGATAGAAAATTAATATTACCAGCTCTATGCACACACAACCACAGTGCAACAGGGATCTGACCAGTTAAAGTCTGTTTAACTTGTGGTTTGACCGACTGAGAGATTTTCATTGTCACATACAACCACTGCAGGCGATGCCTGGAAACATTTCAGAGCTGCAATAAATGCATGGAAAAGGCGTTACACTGTGAACATTCCTGTACATCTTGCACATGACGAGGGGCATTTCAACTCTTTGGCATTTTCAGAAAAAGACACATTCACTTATTTTTTCCAAGCTAGCATGCTTTAAGGCGTGGAATGGTACAATGGTATAGGTTTTATATGAAAATACTGGAGCAAAAAATAATGTTCTCTGTTTGCAAATGATACATAGCTGATACAACAAACTTGAAAGTGATGATTAACACATTGCATGCTTCTGGGGCAAATTAGTTTCCCCCTTTAATTTGGTTCTTTGATTTTATTTAAGTATTTTAATCTTGACAGAAATTTTGTAGAAGCCAACCCCGATGCACCTGTCTCCTTTCAAATATGATTAACTTGTCAGTTATGGCCTCACAGACCGACTGGAGGATTAAAGTCTGCATTTTCCTCTGACCATCAGGAAAAAAAGCAAACACGTGCGTTTGTAACTACTGTTTCATATAAATAAGCTTAGAAAAATAAAAGCTTGTGTGTCTGGCACCACAGAGTAGACAGTGGAAGTAAAACGCAGCTGGTGAGGAAAGTTGAGCAGCTAATTAGTTAGACATTTTTGGGGGGGTGGCAGTTGAATTCAAAAGAGAGCTACAACACTAGACTTACATTCTATAGCTTACTTACATGTTATTCATACCAGCAATCTGAGTTTCTGCTCGTTGTTGACTCTTTTCTGCCCCCTTGTGGACATAAAACAAACTAATTGGAGCTTTAAAACAACATGCAGCATGTTGCCCTGTTAATTTTCCATGAGCGTAGATAAGCAAACCACAATCTCAACCTGCTAAAAGGTGACATCTAGTGAGTGTAGTGTTGCTACTTAAAAAAAAAAAGACCAGCAAACAGCAAACTAAAGTTAGCATCAGCAACTGATACCGATTCTGCATCATGTTCCACAATGACCTCAAAAACTTAGTGGATGACAAAATACCTGCGGCATTTGTTTTCTTTGCTTTGTTGCTATTTGCAGATCATCTGTGCAATTCTGCTATTTTTGTACTCTTAGCAAAATGAAAACAAAAAACAAATATTACAGCGATGATCGCACAGCTACAGAAAATCTTGCTTGCCAAACCATAGACAAAACTGAAAGAAAAAAAAATATTAATGATACAAGTAAATAAAACTAGCTGCTCTAAGTACAGAAAATATGTATGTGCACTCTAATATATAATCTTCCAAACCTCTGAAGAATTTTTCTCTTTGTCTCCAGTTTTGCTATACAAAACAAGATATACATCTAATAAAAAATACACTCTTAAGTTCCAGGCTGGCCAGCTTTCAGGATATACTAAAGCAAATTAAAAAAAATATATGTAGTCAAACCAACCTACACAGCTGGGGTCAGCTATCACAGCAAAGAAACAAGTCAACCAGGCAGAAAGGAGGAGGAGTGTGGACAGAGAGACTGACCAGCAGAGCTCAGTCGTCATCGCTGTCACTGCCTGACTCGCTGAGCTGAAGGTCATTTCCTGTGGTGAGCAGAAGATAAATGACCATAATACCAAAAATGCAGTGTGGTAGCACAGAGTCACTGGCAGTGAATGAGCAAGATTAGCAGCAGCACAGAAAACGAATGCACGCATGTATAAATTCCATCTCTTGACCTGACCAAGTCTAAGTATAACCCAAAGGTACTCACGGAGTGTGTTCATGAGCTGGTTGTTCCCCTGCTGCCGGTCAGGTCCTCCGTTGGCCATGGGGTGGCGGCTGGGTGACGTCTGGCTGAGGGGTCGGGGGGTCTCGAGCTCTCCGTCGCTGCTGCTGCTGTCATCGCCGCTCCCTGAGGCGCTGCCCGAGTCGGAGGAGCTGCTGCTGCCGCTGCTGCTCATCTGCTCTATCACCTCCACCTCTGCTCGCAGCTCTGTTAAGAACAGCAGAGAATCGCTACAGTTAACACAAAGACATTCAGCATTTACTGAAAGATTGTTTATAACAAACTGTAATGTCCTTACATTTATTTAGAACTATGTGATACTTAAGTGTGTCACGTAGCATATGTTTAATATAGAATATGTTATTTGTGATGTTAATCATAAACTATAGTTATGTCAGGAAAACCATCTCTTCTATTATGAGCTATGGCCGTGTATCACCTTCCCTTACCTCTCTTGATGTCATCGAGCTGAGGCTCTGGGGAGGGGTTGTCCTTAGATGGGGAAGGAGAGGTTTTGATCCCAGCCCCGGGTTTAGTGGGGGCCCTAAACTGAGAGGTGGGCTGGCTGGACCGAAGCGACTGCTGCTCAATCCGGGCCTGGATCTTACTGCTGCCCTCTGCCCTGTAAAACACACACACAACAGATGTGATTTCACCTGGATTTATTTAAGAGTAACATAGAAGCCAGCCTGAACTTCCCACTTCAATAACCTTAATTTTGTAATCACTGATATCTCACCTAGTTTTCTTGACCTGGATGCTGCTGCTCAGTTTCTCCAGTACAAACTCCCCAGTGTCGTGGTTAATGATGAGCACACAGTCCTTCTGGTATGGCCGCTTGTTTCCTTTGAATACTGTCATGGGAGGGGTAGAGCCCTGAAAGAAAAAAAAGAAAATGTAAGAACTAAATATGGACAGTCTTGGCTAATTTTGCCAGACCCTATTACATTAAAACAGTGGAAGAAGGTATCATTATACAGTGCTTATTCCTGGTGTGACTGACTCGCTGACTTCAGTTTGAATTGCTTTGATTGTACAAAGTCTGTTTTTACCCTCGATACTGGATTTCTATATGTGCAAACATAAATACAAATGTAGTATCTAAGGTAAAAACAGACTTTGTACAATCAAACAAGCTTGAAAAAAAAAATCAGTATTTGGTATGACCACTGTTATTCCTCAACACAGCCGGAACTCTCTTAAGTAAGCTTTCTTGTAATTTCTTCAAGTGGCCTCCAGGAATAGTTCTCCATGCTTCCTGAAGGACATTCAAAGCTCTTTTTGGATGTTGGCTGCCTTTTGTTTTGTAATAAATAATCTCACACTGCTTCAATAACGTTGAGGTCCAGGTCATTCCACAACTTGTTCTTAAGGACACGACTTTCAGATTTTGTTCATCTGATGGAGATTGTAGTTTTTTGGGGTTTTATTAGGCCTACCACTTATTCTTTTATCTTCTAAATGTTCACTTTTCAACCAATTTGTCTAAGGACTCCCTGCAAACCATGCTGAGATATGCCAAGTATACACCTAATAGCTATTTGGGAATCACCTGGTTGGTGCAAATGTTATGGTATTTTATGCCAGGCTGTTATAAATTGACTGGCATAAAATACTAGCAATGCTAGAAACAAATTGCCTCTGGAAATGGTCAGATACAAGGACTGGACTGAAAGGAGCAAAAAATGCAGCCAGTGTTTACAAAAAACAAGCAAAAGAACAATCAAAAAGACCTTGACGAAGCCTGGAAAAGTATTGCTCAAACCAACTTAAAAAAAAACTACAAGAAAGTCTCATAGCTTGGAAGCAAAAGGAAATGAAAAGGCATTTATAAACTTTTGCACAGTACAGAATGTGAACAGATATTCATCTAACATGCAAGTGCCACACTTCCTGGAAGTACCAATTCAGTCAGTATTTAAGGGCGATGAATTTGATGCTAGAAGAATGGAAATTGTTTTATTATTTGCTTAATTTACAGAAAGAAGTGCACATCATGCAGTCTTACTGGAATATGAGGTAGTGTTATGGTAACTTCATCTCCTTTCCCAACTTGAAGCTCTCCCTCACAGCTTGTGTCAATCGATGCTGGTTTGAAGTCATCTGAAAAGGAGATGCAACAGATAATTTAACCAGGTGCTTTAGGAGACATTGTATGTAGGTAATTCCAAATACATGGACATTTTATTAAGTCTCTTAAACAAATATTGAAAAATTATGAGCCGACGAACCCAGATTTAAAACCTGAGAATGGGGAGTAAAACGATAAAATTCAGTGTATAATGCTGCCACACCATTTGCAACAAATACTTACTTATATTGTTTTCTCCATATAATTACCCATACACAGACTGTGTAAGACACAGCCTCTCCGTCCATGTGAGAAAGTGAGTCTGACACAACAGTAATCTAACAGTGCGCTTTGTATGGTGCCAAAGTTTTATTTAACACATCGCGCAGTCTGTCACACTTACATCTGATGGTGTGAAAGGAAGACTTTGGCCTCTTCTCAAAGCTTTCTCCGAGCTTCAAAACATGCTCCTCTTTGTCCAGCAGCGGATTCGTGCTCCCGTTCATGGCTCCGTTGGTTTAATGGTTACTAAAACTCGCATTTAGGTCAAATCCCACGAAGACCCGAGAGCAATCTGGCAAGTTGAGCAGGATCAAAATAAGATACCAACTACAACACAAAGTTAGCTTGCTGTGGCTAACAGTTAGCAAAACATCACGTGGCCACGCCTTTTCCGCTTTTGGTCCGGCTCTCAAATATCGCCGAAAGTGGGCTGTGTTAGCAACGTCACCTGTTTTCATTAAAGCAAAAGATTTTTAAAAAAAAACAAACAACGCATTTCACTACATAATAACCTATGAAAATATTTTCAGTGCTTTAATTTAGTCAGTAACGAGTAATTATAGAAAACGCGCCACTCGATGAGAAACGGAATTAAGTAGTAAAGACCACACGACATCATTTAGTTAACGGACAACATGGATGCATTAAATGTGGAAAAAGTACGGCTACCCTCAAATTTGTTTTAAAATAAAACTCTAAATCAGTTAATTGGGGGTTAGCATGTTTGAAAAGTCTATTTTTCATAAGCGAGTATAAACAGAACGTGGAGACACTTTGTGGCAGTTTATCATGGCATTGTCAGAAAGTGGGGTTTTGCGTGGTGATATTAACTGTACACATCCTGGAAAAGAAGAGTCGAAAGACCAAGCGAACACCCCCACTGCCAGGGTTTTAACTCTGGGGGAGCAGGAAAGACTGAACGGTGAGCGGGCTCTGGTGTCTGACTTCAAACAGATGAAGCTGGAGAAAGAAGCGCAGAAAAACTGGGACTTGTTTTACAAAAGAAACACAACAAATTTCTTCAAGGATAGACACTGGACCACCAGGGAATTTGAAGAGCTCAAGGCATGCCGAGAGGTGAGGAAATATTTACAACAGACCACACCAGAGGAGGTTCATTTACAGGATATTAAACATAACATCTGTATGTTTTGAAATATTTGAGTTGTATGACTGCCATGCATGTGGTATTGTGTGAAATAGATAAAAAATTTACTGATTTTAATGTATACAATGGACACCCTAAAGGAAAATTAAGGCTTCACAGGACATGACTTGACATTATCAGCTGTGTAGTTTCTGATTTTACTTAATTACCACCTAATAAAGTAAATGCTTTTCTCTAGAGCTGATATTTAGAGGTCAGTTAAAAGCTTGCAACTTTCAACAGTAATTTAGCATAAAGGATATTGTAAAAGTTTTTAAGTGAGTTTTTGGAGTTTCACTATTAAAAATCATTAAGCTGAGTTGAGAGACATGAGTAGACTAATACCTTGTGTTTGTGGCTATTTTTTTTTTCTTTTTTTTGCCTGTCCCGTTTGGCTCTTTTGCCATCAGAATTGTTGTCTAAAGGCAAAGAAAGATGCCCAATGGATTTACTTTACCAAATTGACCATCCCAGCCTTGCCGTAATGGTCCATTTGATTCACCTTTTATTGTTTATTTTATTTTCACTTACTGAATACGGGACAGACTTGACTGGGGGAAAGAAGGGGAGAAAGAAAGAGGGAAAGAGAAACAGCTGAGAAGAGGGACGGGGGAGAAGGGCAAAAGACAAAAACCAACAGAACGGGCAGAGAAAAAAAAATGCATATATCGATCACCTGGGTCACCTGCTGAGAAAGAAAAAAGAAAGCAAGCAGAAGAGAACAAGAGTAATAGAATAAACAACATCACAATGATATATGGGAATATGACAGTAAATACTAAATATTAAACATTATTGTGCAGCACATAAGATCAACAGAACACAGTGTGCTTTGAGGTAGGAGCCAAAAAGGGTGTAGTTTGTGGGTGTGATCACCCGTGTGTACACCTGTGAGCATGGACACGCTTGTTTTTTTGTTTTTTTTTTAAAGGTTCCTTCATGTAATGATCTGCTAGAGGGTGTGGGGGGGGCCACAGCCCCGTCCTCCAGGGCATGAAGCAGGTATGGAGGAGATCAAAACTCCAGACATCCAGAGGCCCCCAGAACACAAGAGACCAAGGAAGACCAACAGAGGGGCAGCCGCGCCACTGTCCCAGAAAGAGCTGAGGAGAGTCCCAGATGAGGGCTCACTCAGCAGCCGCGGAGCAGAAGCCAGGGGGAGTTGCAGTGACGCGCCCGTGAGCTCCGCTGGCAGCCAGCCGTGCCTGAGTGACCGAGCCCCAGGCCGAGAGGCCGGGGGCACCCCACCTCCGAAGTGGCCCGAGCGAGCCCCAGGCTCCAGGCCCCGATAAGCGGCCGCCAAGGAGTGAGCCGGTGTGTACCTGGACGCCCATCCCCGGACACAAAGAACCACCAACGCACCGATGTCTGAGGGAGTCCGCCACTGGCAGGGGAAGTGGTGGTAGGGGAGATAGGCCTCCAAACCTTGGAGGGCCTGAGATGTCCCCAGAGAGGTGGCGTCTGATACCCAACCTGACATATAGACACAGACATACAGGCACACACAGATACAAACATCCGTTCCCACCCTCATGCTCTCATATGCACTTACTCCACACTCAACCAGCGTGGAGACAGACATAAAAGACGCTGTACACACGATCACACTCCCCAAGCGTACTCTACAAACCGGGTCTAGGTACCCTTGCCCCTGGAGGGGGGAACTGCACCCAGACCCAGGTGGTGTTACCCTTTTCCCTGCGGTGGGGAGAGGCAGACCGCCCCGACTCCGCAGCAGCAGGGAGGCCCCACACTCCAGACCCCAGTCGGACGGCCAACTCCTCCTCCTAGCCCCCCCGCTCCAGCAGGCCGCAGAGAATGGGGGTGAGAGAAGACTCCAAACCTCCCTCCACCCACTCATTGTAATGTTGATGCATGTGTGTTCTAAGGTGCATTTAAAACCCAGGAGGGCTTGGAGCTACCTGCCAGAGAGCAGCAGGTAAGCGCATAGTCCCTCCTGCTAGCCCTCAATGTCTACGTGTATTTAAAATTGAGAGGTGGGCAACGACGCCAGGGGTGAGGTGTACACCCTGATGGTACTTTGGATTCCGTGTATCGTGCCCACCCCCAAGATCCTATATGTATGTGTAACGAGAGTGTGAATAATGTGAATGTCTAAGTTGTGGGATAAAATTGAGGCAGAGGCAGCCAGAAGGGGACAGAGGGGGGGTAGCCTCCTCTGCACCCTGGTGACATACCCCTACTCCAAGGTCCTGCATGTGTGGGTGGTTGTGGTGGAGCGGGAAGAGGGAGGCAGCTGGAGATGGGGAGGGAAGGAAGGGAGGGGCAAGTGACCCCTCCCTGGGGCCAGCTCCCCCGCTGACCCCAGTAGGCACCCCATACTCCGCGACCCGCCAGGGAAAGGGGGCCCAGGCCCATCCAGACCGGGGCCCAGTGCAGCAGCGCCTCCCTGCCCCACAGAGCCCGGGACATTCCACCCAACCCCACCACAGAGAAAACTGCACCCACCCCACCATCCACTCATCTTCCAGACTACATAAGACAATAAACACCCAAGGAAGCATGGAGAACTATTCCTGGAGGCCACTTGAAGAAATTACAAGAAAGCTTACTTAAGAGAGTTCCGGCTGTGTTGAGGAATAACAGTGGTCATACCAAATACTGATTTTTTTCAAGCTTGTTTGATTGTACAAAGTCTGTTTTTACCTTAGATACTACATTTGTTTGTGGCTATTTTAAATTTATCTTTGTCCCATCTGGCTTGCAGTTTGAGTCCCAGAAGTTGGTGCTGCTGGAGGCAGGCTGTGGTGTTGGAAACTGCATCTTCCCTCTGCTCGAGGATGACCTCAACATCTTTGTTTATGCCTGTGACTTCTCACCACGAGCTGTTGAATTTGTCAGAGTAAGCTCTATTAGTGAAGCTGTAATACTACTTTACATTCAATGGATTCAGACATTTTAACCTGAGAATCTTGGAATCAACAAAAAGAAAAAACCCCACTGAATTTTGTAAAAAAAAAACATTCTTTCCTTTGTTTTCTTTGTGTTAACAGCAAAACCCTCTGTACTGCCCCGACCGCTGTTGTGCCTTCCAGTGTGATTTAACTAAAGATGACCTGATGGAAAATGTGCCAGAAAGCAGTGTGGATGTCATCACACTCATCTTCGTCCTGTCAGCTGTCCATCCTGACAAAATGAAGCTGGTTTTGGAGAACATTAGCAGGGTGAGAGCAGAGATGGCGTGTGGATAGATTTAGTATAAGTCTGTACTCCCAACAGCTTGTATAGTTTAAATGAAATGATAGGTGGGAGAGTTCTCTCCTACTGGAACTACACAAGCACTTGCTTTCTGTACTCATAATGTGGATAAAACGAAATGTTTGATTGAAAGAAGCCTTTAATCTGATGATGTATTTGGTGGTTAATTTCTAGATATGCTTTTAATGTGCCACATTAGTCAGATTGAAATAGTTTAATGTGATTTGCATGTGATCTTAAGGTTTTGAAGCCTGGGGGATTTATCCTCTTCAGGGACTACGGACTTTATGACCATGCCATGCTCCGATTTAAACCCGGAAATAAGCTGGGAGAGAATTTCTATGTACGGCAAGATGGAACTAGGTCCTACTTTTTCTCTAAAGGTCAGTAGTTTATTTTAAGGAAGTTATTTTTTGTTGATACTAACTTAGCTTATCTGTATAATTAGATAGATATATATTACCGGTTTAGAAATGTGTGAATTGAGGCTTCAGACCTTTTATTTCAGACAATCATCACATTCATATGCAACAACATTGACCTCTCCTTCCTTGGTCACTCATTGTTGAGATAACCTTTTCAAGTAGAGAAGGCTCAATTTATGCATTTCATCTTTTTATGACACATCAGAAAATCTCTAAACCTTTTTCTTTCTTTTTTATAACTGCCCTCAGAGTTCCTGGCTGAGCTGTTTGAGAAGACGGGCTTCAAGTGCGTTTCTAATGACTATGTTCTTAGAGAGACTGTCAACAAGAAGGAGGGACTTTGTGTACCCAGAGTGTTCCTGCAGAGCAAATTTATGAAACCAGAGAGCTGAACTTTGCGTTTGTCGTCTCACAGATCTACAGAGGTTTGGCAAAACATAGCACTGAAATGTCAGATGAAAACTGGACAGTAAAAGGTGTGCCAAAACTTTACCAGAATGGAAATTGGGCCACCAAGGTAACTTAGCAGTATGTACTCCTGCTATCTGCTGACCAAACCACCTGAGGAAGGCTCCCAGAAAAGCTCTGCTGCCAACATCTAAAGGGATTTGATTGGATTTTTTTCACGGGAAAGAAAAGGCATTAAACATGGTTGTTTAAACGTTCACAGTTTGTGATACCGTTCTGAGAAACACTTTAAATATAAACCAGTGATATGATTGCTAATAGAATTATGACTTTCTTGCCCTTCATTCCCCTAATATTGAGTTCAAGTCATCATTTAAAAATTTATTTTTTTAAATAAATGTATTTTATTATTTTCCCACATATACTGTGAGAGGACATGGTAATCTGTGTTTTATAATTTCCCACTTTTTTCTGTGAAATTTTAAAAAATTGTTTAGGATGAAAAAGCAAAGTCTCTCATTCTGTTTGAGGTTCACATTTTATGGGCCATGAATCCCTGTGGTGGATGTATGGATATTTCCACGTTTAAGAATAAACATGCTAAATTTTGAGCCTTTTTTTAAAACTATCTTAACTATCTCTCCTTCAGACGATTAAATGAAAACGTCTTCCCTGGCAGATGTCACTGAATGTTCATTGTATAGAAACAGAGAAGAAACCTTTAAGGCTGCTAGGATGACAAAATCTAAGACATCCACATTGCCCAAAGCGTAAATACAAAATAGATAATTAAATTATCTATGAATTATAAATTATTATTCTGTAATGTTTTTTCAACTTGTAGATTAAGACATTTCAGTCTATATGAAAAACTAGATGAGCAAGTGTGTGAACAACCTTTGAATCTAAATATTTATTGTGAAGACGTTTTATTTCCTCCTTTGATTTCTGAGTAGCAATCAATTCAAAGACTAACAGTAACACAGGCTACTAAAAATGCATAAATTAAAAATCTATTTAATGGAGAAAACACAATAACAAAAAAATAATGACAAGAAAATTATTTAATTTTTTCTTCCCTGTACACATTTGGAGGACTCCACATTAAACAATTTAGTTGACAAAATATTTAAATTGATCGCACTGGAAAAGGTCTTTTGAAGCATAAACACCTGTAAGCAGTATGAGCACAAAGCTATCAAAGTTCTCAACTGTGACACACAAAGGCCTAAAAGAGAACTGCCCTTACTACAATACCATCAGCTGCTCCCAAGATCAACATGTTTGCCGTTGTTTCGATTTAACAACAAATATAAGAGCTTTTATACGTGAATGCAGTTTAGTTAAGTTTTGCATTCATGTATGTTTGCCTTCATCGTACTGTACATTCTGCTAAAAAAGACCACTGTGGTGAATCGGTTTAGGGCCTGTCAAGCTACTTGCAACATGCACTAAATGTGGCTTCCTGTTCAGCAGCTGTGTCGCCCACTGACTTTCCCAGTTTAGAACACATTAAAGATTTGTTGTGCCTCTCAAAACAGAAATATAATTTGGTGTTTGACACAGTGCGATTTATTGGCATCACAGTGTTTCATGTCACAGATATGAAATGACCATTTTCAGATTTTATATGTTATCCAGTGGTGAAAAGTAAAAGATTTTGGGCGGTTTTAGAAAGCACAGTGAGTATCAAAATTGCATAAATCCCTGTAAAATTTAATGTAGTCAAATAAAATAATCCAAAATGACAATTATTTGAGTGAATGGGATGTGGGTAAAGATTAAAATAATAAATATTTATATTAAAACATAATTCAATCTTGTAATATATTGAGCTAGTAAAGTGGGCTATATTGTTTAAACATTTCATGTATGCTTTTAAACATGAACAAATATTCATTTTCATGACAGTAATTTCATAATTTGCTAATTAGTTAAGCTGGACTAGTTCTAGATTACGATCATGAAGATTGTGTTGTTTAATTAATGACACAATGTAATATTCTGATTCTGAAAACGTTTTCTGTGGTTCTGGAAGAAAAGTTGTGGTTACCAAAAATGTAACGAAATTAAAATTAGTTTCATTCCTGAGAAATTGCCATTTGCTTCAGTTCTACGTAACAATTTTTTTTCATGAAATAACAGCTCAGTCACCCTTAAAAATGTTGAAAATTGTGATTAGTGAGATCCGGTGATATGTTAAGCGAGGTGCCCTATTTAATCTGACCATGCACGCTGCTTTAAGACTGACTTCAAAGCAGTACAATGCAGTTGATACAGTTTCCTGTCCCGTGGTTTGGCTTCTTCGAGCTTCGAGCGAGAAATGAAAGTGCCAAGACAGTTAAAGATGCTCGTACCAGTTCATTCTAGGTTATGGTTTTTTTTTACAATCATTAAATAAAATATGATGAATGATTTTGATCAGTAAAATAAATACAACTAACTAATTCTGTTGGAGAAATTAATGTTTTATTAGTATTTCTGCTATATTTTGTGGGGATTATTTGTATTGTTGAGTTTTATTTTTTTATTACATTTTCTTTCTTTATGATTTATTAATCATCATATATCCCAATTCAGGTTAATTATTTCTGCCGTGGCTACGTGCTCTCTAGTGTGTGGTTTTAAAAAATAAATAAATAGGTGAGTATAAATTTGGATGATGACATTGTGGTCTGAGAGATAGAGGCAAGTTCCAACCTTGATATTTTTTTTTAACCTGGTGATGGTTGCTGTGGCTTTTCACACCTTTTTTGCAACCAGCTACTGCACCGACACAGTCAAACCAGCACGTACTTAAAGGTCTGTTTGTTCCACTGAATCTCTCCACATTGCAGCAGCCTGGGTTTCTTTCCTTCTCTGCTTTCACTCTCAACATGTGTGCACAGCATGGCTTCCAGGTGCAATTTTAACACTTGATTGTTATTAATTTGTTTGTCCAAACTGCGTTTTGTTTAATTTCAGTTTCCACACCAAATTATTCTGGCAATGATGACAGAATCTGATATCCAGAAAGAACTGCATTTACTTAGGTCAGTTTAGCAACATATTTCTTTATTCTTTCTCAATGTATTTTTAATGTTCCCTTAGATTAGTCCAAAATTCACAGCACTAGTAAAATACAACCTAATATATACAAAGTAAAATTGATTTGTATTATAATATTAGCCTCCCCTATTCTAAATGACACAGAAATAAAAAGTAGCTGCTTTGGGACTACTACTACTGTATATTAAAGAGATTACAGACAGAGGAGTCGTAGTGATACGATAAATCTTTAATATGCAACTGAAGCAGTTATACTCTATGATGAAACATTAAATTTGTAAAAAAAAAAAAAAAATCATTTGTTGCTGTGATATAAGAAAAATGGTGAAAAATATGTTTGATCCATTTACTTCATTCAGCCAAATCAGAGCAAAGAGGTGTTCTTGAAATGCTTTTTGAACAATATTCATCAAAGTATCCATCCCAACAAAACAGCTGCCTCAGTCACTGATCTGTAAAAGAACAGACAGAACAGCAGAATGAGACATCAAATCCATATGTGGTAGAAACTGAGTTTATCTCCCCGCCTTCCCACAAAGTTAAAAAATTACAAATATTTCAACTCCTCAAATACAAAGCCGTACTGAGGAGTAGATTGTTATAATCAAAGTTCAAAAATAATAATGACATATTTAGTGACTGATCATGAAAATACCTTTGACAACAACAGTGATAAAATGGCCCATGGCTGTCTCTCCACTTGCTGTACACAGAGCCTTGCACTGAAAGGTACCAGCATCCTTTGGTGTCACGTTGAGGATCTCTGTCACAACCAGTCTGCGTCTTTTCCCTTCAGAGATTGTCTCACTCACTGTTGTGAAGTACTTTTTGGGGTTAATTAGCTCAACACTTCCACTGGTGACATCATGCCACACAACATGCACCACACCACACGATTCGAAGTCGTAATGTGCCTCACAAGTTAGTGTGACTGATGAGCCTATAGACGGAGTGAATGTCTTCTGTAGGTAGCGGACTTCTAAATTATCTAGAACATAAAAAAAACCCAGTGTTAATATCTCGCTTCATGAAAATAAATTGAATTCCCAAATCATTTTTGAGTCACTTAAAGTCAGTGCTACTGGTGTGTGTTAAAATATCATCTGCCCAATGGGAGCTGTTCAAAGAGATGGTAAACTGGGTGTGATGGGTCTTTTATGATGTTTGTTGTTTTCCAGAGACAGCAGGATGTTCTGATATTGTTCGGAGCAGGTATGTGTGTTGTTTTCTCTACAGTTATATTAACTCTATGAAGGGCCTTTTTGTGAGCCCCAGAGCTACTGCTTCTCATTATCAGGACATTATAGGTCAGGACACTCTCAAAAACGACACCACCCATGTTGTGGCAGGTTGAATTTCCTGACAGCTGCCTGGAAGTTTACTCACTGCTGTGCTTTGTCGATCAAACAGTGCATGTTTTTTTTCTACTGCTATCTGCAGTTTTAAGGATTACTAATGAAAATATTATTGCTTATGTTTTTACAGCAAGAGTAAAAACTAGATGTCTAGGTTTTCTTCATAACAAAATAACAGATCAGCAATTGTCAGATAAATTGTGGTTATATTTCATTCTTCCTTGAATTGCTTACTTTTTCTAACAGAAATAAATCAAGAAAAGTGAAACTGTATCTTTGAAATACCTGATATCTAGACTTTTTTTTTTTCTGCTACCGCTAAAAAGACTTATGAGGTCATGCAACTTTCACTGAGAAAATAGGGACTCAAAGCACCGTTCCTCTTCTAATAAACCACTCCTCTTACTGGAATGTTGTGTAAGCTGACTACCACACCCTTTTCCCTATCGGAGTTATATTCAAATGTATTATCAAGTGAAATGGCGATGGAGCTAGACCAAGAAAAGCTCTGCTGTTCCATATGTTTGGATTTACTTAAGGAGCCAGTGACCATTCCCTGTGGGCACAGCTACTGCATGAATTGTATTGAAAGCCGCTGGACTGAAGAGGAACATAATAAAAGCTACAGCTGCCCTCACTGCAAACAGACCTTTGCACCAAAGCCAGACTTGGTGAAAAGTGCCATGTTTGCTGATTTGGTTGAAGCCCTGAAGAAAACAAGACTTCAGTTTGCTCCAGCTGATCACTGCTATGCCAAGCCTGGAGATGTAGCCTGTGATTTCTGCACTGACAAAAAGCTGAAAGCCCTCAAGTCATGTTTGGTGTGCCAGATCTCCTACTGTGAGCTCCACCTTCAGCCTCACTACGAATCCTCTGCCTTTGAAAAGCACAAATTGGTTGAACCGCTAAAAAATCTACAGGAGAAATTTTGCTCTCATCATGATGAGGTGATGAAGATCTTTTGTCGCACTGACCAGCAGGCCATCTGCTTTTTGTGCTCTGTTGATGAACACAAAAATCACGACACAGTCTCAGCTAAAGCAGAAAGAAACCATAAGCAGATGAAGCTTGGGGTGAGTCGGGAAAAAATCCAGATGAGAATTCAGAACAGAGAAAAAGATCTGAAAGTTCTTCAGGAGGAGATTGAGGCCATCAATTTCTCTGCAGATAAAATAGTGAACGACAGCAAAAAGATCTTCACAGAACTAGTTTGTCTTGTTGAGAAAATGAGCTCTGCTTTAAATGAACAAATCAGATTCCGGCAGAAAGCTGAAGTTAATCGAGTTACAGAGTTAAAGGAGAAACTGGAGCAGGAAATTGCTGAGTTGTGGGTGAAGGATGCGGAACTAGAGCTGCTCTCAAATACTGATGACCACATCCAGTTTCTACTTAATTACCCTTCACTGTCACATTTAAGTGAGTCCACAGACTTGCCCAGCTCAGATGTCCATCCTCCCCTGTACTTTGAGCATGTGACAGAGGCTTTGTCAGAGATCAGAGGTAAGCTGGAAAATGTTCTAAATGAGGAATGGCCAAAAATCTCACTAAAAGTGACTGAAGTGGATGTTTTACTGCCAATCCCAGAGCCAGAGACAAGAGAAGAATTCCTACAATATTCTCGTAAAATCACGTTGGAGTCCCAGACTGTCAACCCGTGGATATCATTATCTGAAGGCAACACAAAAGCAACAGTGATGAGAGAAAAGCAAATATATGACTGTCACCCAGACAGATTCACTCACTGGCTTCAAGGCCTCAGCAAAGAGAGTCTGACTGGGCGTTGTTACTGGGAGGTTGAGAGAAGCAGTGGGGGAATTTTAGTAGCTGTTGCATACAAAGACATTAGCAGAACTGGGGATGAGAGTGGATTCGGAAACAACGACAAGTCTTGGGCATTAGGATGTTTTGACTTTAATTACTATTTCAGACATAACAATATGAAAACTTTACTCTCAGGCTCTCAGATGCCCAAAATTGGGGTGTTCCTGGATCACAGGGCCGGTACGCTGTCATTCTACGGCATTTCTGAAGAAATGATTCTCCTTCACAAAGTCCAAACCAAATTCAGTCAGCCGCTATACGCCGGAGTCTCGGTTTACTGGGCTGGAGACACTGCTAAGTTGTGTAAACTAAAGTCAACTTGGTCAAAAGAGGTTGATGGATAAGATACTGCTTTTAATTACGTGAAAAAGGGAGATTTGACCTGTGCATTGCATTCTGTAACCCCTTAATGCCTATTATATCATATTGACACTGAGTTTTTTGGGGGGTGTTACTCCTCACTTTGTTCTGGTCACTTTTTAAATCCAATGTAAAAACAAAAGGTTAGTATAAATGTATCGATGATGTCAAATACTGAAGGTCAATATTATGTTGTAAGCAGTGATACACTCAGGCTTTATGTTTATGAGTGATGCTTCTTTGGTATTAAGTCAGTGAAAAGATTAGAATAAATATTTCACATACTGTAACATTTTCTATTATTCCCAAAACCTTTAAGCCTCACTTTCAAATACGGTTAATGGTCAGACTACAAGCTGTTATTAACACACATTTGATTGTAACAAGGTTATACTGCCACGGATATGTCTACATACATATTCTTATATTTAGATGATTTTCTTGGCTTAATGTAGGAGTATAATTAGAAATGACGTATGTATGGTTTTATTGAGATAGATTTTCTGGCGATGACACCATCCGTTATCAAGAAAATAAAATTTAGAGAAAAAAAATTAAAAATTGTTTACTAACCTGTCTCCTGAGCAAACAACAGCGGAAAAGTCATGAACAGCACCACTGCAAAGCCAGTAAACCATGACATTGTAGATAAGATACAACAGCAGGAATCACCAAAGATGAACACGAGGACCACAGCACAAATGGCAGACTAGGTTATAGGTTTCACATAAGATGCATGAACACCACTGGCTGCAATGTGTGAGTGTGTTTGCAGATGCGTGGGTGGAGGATATGCAACTCTGTGCTCAGCTATGTGTGACTATCTGCATTCGTTCTGACCACCACAAACCTACTGCCTCTCTTTGCACTCTGTTGAAAAAACACTTTTTTGTTGCCTTGAATGCAGCTTTCACTTTTACTGAGCACTACGTTAAAATTCAGACTGTCTTGCCCCTGTCTGTGTTGTCAGGGGCAACTCCCTGCACCATCTTAATTGTGACTAATTATTTTGTTTTTATTTTTTCACTGGGGATCGCACTGCAAAGACTGAACTATAAGTCAGTTGAAACCAAGAATAACTTGCACCAGAGAAAAGTGTGGGGAAGAAATAGAACAACTCATGATTTCAAGCAAATTGTTGATAGAAGTAGTGTACAATCAGACAGCACTTCACATTGTAAATGGATATGACCCAATCCATACTACTAAAGCAGCCTGTTACGTCCCTCTGCAGCCTCTAATCTGCTCAGTGTGTTCAGCTGGTCCTAATTGGCCACACCTAGTCAGGTGTGGATAAAAGCATACCTGAGGCAAGCTTCCCAGGGAGCTCACTTGTCTTTGCCTTGGTGGCATCAGCCATTTTAGCCAACCTGGTTTTCCATTTTAAGATAAAACCCTCTTCTCACCCATACTCTGGTATTCGTCTCCTTTTTTATGTTGCGGCTTTGAGCTGGGTCGTAACAAGCCCAAGTGTTTCTCAAAGCAAAGAAATGAGATATTCTTTGATGGCCAAGCCAGTCAGAATATTCAAGCTAGTAGATCTCATTTTTAGTAGAAGTAGATGTACATAAATCTTAGTGAAGAATACTGTATAGAAGAATACTGGGTATATCCATATGTACGCGTGTGTGTATGTGTGTATAACTTGCACATATCTTTCTTGTGTAAATGTACATTTGTTTGTGTTATTGTTTAAATACTTACGCTATTGTGTATTTCACACACATGGAGAGATGCCAAACTGCCTTTCATTGTTCTTGTAACAGTGAAAATAAAGAGCTATTCTATTCTCTATACCTTTTCCAGATCCACTGCATACAACAGTCCTGTATCCACAGAGGGTAAGATAAAGGATTCTGCTGCTACCAGAAAATCAGCATCCATGTACTTTTACCAATATGTGGGCTAGCTCATAATGATTCAGACACTTTTTATTTCCTATTAGTTTCATCAGGCAGTTACACATATTTTAAAGTGAAAATTGCCTAAAACAACTCAGAAAAGTTGGTTCTCAGTTACTGTTTGAATATAACATGGCATCATTATAAAACCATTTGAATCACATTATGTAAACCACCATAGTCATGGCTCTGATATTAGTGTGACAGCAAGAATAAAACCTGGCTTATCTTATTTAGGCAATAAGTAACTAATGAGCTTAGTGATGACAATGTGGAAGCATGAAGTAAAAGCCCAAGATCCAAACCTTCCCACATTATCTGTGAATCACCATGGTGGCTGTGGACTGTACAGAGTTGCCTCCAGCAAGCTCCAGTAATATAACTCTAGGCATATCATTGTATCCCAAATAATATGTTAGCCTGAAATGAAATCACTATGTATTGTTAGCAGCCAACTTCCCAGAAGATACTAACATCTACTAACAGTTCACATGGTTTTATATGAGACTGTGTATCTATTTAACTGGTTAAAACTGGTGGGGAGTGGGAGGCACTGAACTAAGAGGTGACTGATATCAGGCACCAATTATCGTGTATACAACTGCCCCCGCACATTGTTTTATACTCATATGTCTGCAGGTTTCTAAGTAATTATTCAATCAGTAAAAAATGTTTACTTTTTGAAATGAAGGCCTGTTAAGATTTATTTTATTTTATGGCCACATGTCTCCCAATCTAAACTCAAGCAGGGTTGGGCCAAACAACAACAAAAAAACTATTACCTAATAATCTATAAAAAATAAAGACACAATTAATCTCAATCAGTCCTCCACAAGACTTCTTGGAAAAATGAATTGCTCACCAATAGGAAGGTATTATACATTTTAAAGAAACAAACCTATTTGTATGGCTTTGTGCAAGTTAATAGTTGTACTGAGCACATGTGCTCCCTAGATGGGGCTGTTTGCATTTAAATATTTTTAGGCAACAGTCGGAAAACCACTGTGGCAATTCACCTCAGTTCATGTTAGTAAATACTAGTTTTGCAGTTTTAAAATACTAAGTATGGATTAGGTTACTTCAGATGACATATAGCGTCATAACTGTAACAACTTTGGTTTGGGGTTTGAAATATATGCATATTATAGTCTTGCTTCTGTTACTCATTTTACATCATAATTTGAGTGATGAATAAACAAACACTGATTTGAAAAAGTAAATATTCTGTTCTATGTTGAAATTATGCTGTAAAATACCTTACATGTTATCCATGTTGTCTTACATGTCACAATTAATGATAATTTTGCTACTTTCTATTATTACTCTTTTACTTCCAATATTTTTGGTCAGATGTGAGAGACAGATTTAAAAAGGACCTAAACTGTATTAGAGGAAGTGAGTATTTACCCTCATGTTCCACATCACACAGCAAAAGGTTGGATGTTAAGAAAATTATATGAACAGTTTAGTAAAATGTGTTTTTCATGTTTTCAGAAACAGTTTTAATCCAAAAGGAGCATCTGTTCTTTCTATATTTTCTTCCTGATATGTCCTTGATCTAACACAGCTGATTTAAATGGCTAAATTACCTCCACACGTCTTGAATTTCTCCAGAGGCATGAACTAATCATTTGATTCAGGAGTGTCAACCCAGGGTGATATCTAAAACCTGCAGGACACTGGCCCAAGAGGCCTGGAGTGCGAGACCTCTGCATATGACCCCTTATGAGCAAGCGCTTTGGCGACAGTGGGAAGAAAAAACTCTTTTTTTTCTAACAGGAAGAAACCTCTGGTGGAACCAGGCTCAGGGAGTGGCGGCCATCTGTTGTGACTGGTTGAGGGAAGGAAGACAATAAACAACTATAAATCTATTTAACAAAAAGCAAATAAACACTAGGCTTGGTAAAAACGTGCAGAAATTACATCTATATATTAACATTATATATAGATGTATATATAGCAGGACAACATTAAGTGCTTTAAATACCAACAGTGTAGTTCATGAACTCATGGGGAAGTAAAATCGCATGACAGTGTGATACAGAGTAATGGCATGCAATGACTTTTGCAGAAAGGAAAGGACACACACACACACACACACACACACACACACACACACACACACGCATTGACACAGAAATCTGCTTCCACTACTTTTACTACATGAAAACATACTGCTTTGTGTTTTGTTTATGCTGACAGCCTCCTGCAGCTTACTGCAATCTAAATGACGTCTTCCCTTTTTCTTCATTTATTCATGGCCGAAGAATTAGAAAATATCATTACTTGTATAGCTAAATAAATATCTACAATGCTGTCAAAAACAACTTACTATCAGATGAAAATTGGGAGGATTTTTGAGCTTTCTACCCAGACAATCCAGAACAGAGTGCACACAGCCAGTCTCTGGTCTCACGTGGCTGCCAGGAGGCCTGCAATGACTGCCCTACACCATCACGCTCATTTGCACTGGTGTCAGCAACATGTGCACTGAAACCTGAACATGTTGATCAATGTTGTGTTGAGCGATGAGTCCAGATACGGCCTATGGCAGTTGGATCGCAGATTTAAAATGTGGAAAAGACACGGAGAGCGCTATGCTGACTGCTATACCGATAGGGTAACAGCTTTTCTCATCTCCACCAAAAACAAGGCTTGTCATCACTGGATCTCAATCCACAGAAATACTGAGATGGGATATGGCATTTCCTCAACCAGAGAAACTCTATCCTCCAAAATGGCAACATTGCCCCAACAAAGCAGGATTTACCACTGACTACCTCCAGAATTTGAGAGTAAAATAAATACTGCATTTAGTCCCGTGCTAACTTGTGGGATCAGCTTGTGCTTGACTTTTGTGCAAGAGCGACCAACACAGCTATACTCGCAGACTTGTGCTTAATGCTGGTTGAAGAATTGGATTTCATCTAACAGCAGCATGGGACCAAACTGGTGACCAGCATAAGGAGGAGGTGCCAGGTTGTTGTGGTTGTGTAAGGTTCTTTCACGTGCTACCGATGATGGTAGAGTAAATGTTATGACGGAACATTGTTTTCAAAGCTTTCACTTTGGTAAATTTTAAC